TACAATTCATCATTCCAAGTAAGTCACATCTATATGTTACAAAACTTAGGTCTCAGTTGGCAGTCAGTAAGGTTTTTGTGGTTTTCTTCAGTTCAAATTAATTTTAGGACTGCATTCAAGTAGGCCGCAACTTCCACCTTTACAGTCCCTCCTTATAATTCATGATAATCTTCTGATCTCAGTCACTAATTTATGTACCTACATATTTAAAACAATGTTAATAACTTAAGAATCATTGATAACATGAAGGAACAATATTTTGTTTTTTCTTCATCCTAGTTATGGTCTGTTGACCTATCACTTCTAAAAATGAAGGAAATTTACTTTTGATGTAAACGTGCCTTTAAGGCAACATCCCATTTATACCCAGTGATAAGGTAATGAGGAAGATAATGATCAAGAGGGGCAGCCTATATAGCATTACCCTTGGCCACACATAACACAAGAGAACACACTGTACTAAAATCCAAATATCTCTGCTTTGCTTAAACTGCTAAAATATAGTGTATAAAGACGATTTAAATAAATTTATCTGTTAGTGTCAGGATTTGCTGATTTTAAATTATATAACTATGCAAGTTAACATAGGTGCTGGTAACTGAACCACAGTGTGTGTCCAGTATTCCCCCTGTTAACAAAGGATGAAAGTTGGAATTCATTAAGAACCAAAATAGTGGAAACTCAGTCAATAAACAAGTGGGCTACAGACTAAACTCAACTGGCACAGAGATTTTTTCTTTCCAATCACATCTAGAATTAGTCTGTGGTTCACTCAACCATTGGTATGTGGCTACAGCATGAAACTGAGCACTTCTATCTTGTACCAAGGTTTAGAATGTGTGGAGCTTTACCTTTGTGCCTGCTTTGTACCTACATATGTTCTGTTAATTATTCACCACAGTGAAGAACTACATGTGCCCACTTTTCTACCTTCTTTGTCTCTTTGCTGTAAGTCTGTATTATCATTATGCTATGAAGTGTGTTATAATTTTGTGTATAGAATCATTGGAGACTGGCTGTAGTTTTGGCATTGTTTGAAGCGTATTCAGGATGGACAACACATAGAAATGTAGGATCTACTGATGGAAACAATACATCTCCTTATGACTTGTTTGAAGGTGAACGAAGCTTCTACTTCGAGTGTTTACAGACTGTTTTTGGTAAGGAAAATATGTGTGAAGTAAGTGGGAAGATTGTGTGAGGCACTATCTGTAAGTTTCTGGAATGTATTAAAAACAAGTTATTGTACCTTCTCAGACTATAGCATCATGTCAAATTCAAAGTAATTTTACAGCATATATTCGGACTGTTAGAATGCCACACTTTGTCCACCACCAATATTGGGGTTAGAGCAGGGGTGGCAGTAACTTTAAATATCTGTGCCTGTGTAATACTTCTTTACTGTGATCAGCCTGGTGATTGTATTAAAATTATACTTTGTTCGTGTATTGTATGTTCGTTATTGAAAGTCTGCAAGAAATACGTTCATTACAGAAGAGACCACTACAATTAAAACAAAAATATGTATCTGTAACTATACTATTTTTAGAATGTTACCTGTTACTGTATGCAGCTTATTTTGGGCAGTGTTTCCATTTTCTAGAATTACTGTTTCCTTCACCACACACTCACAGATGTGAATCACTAGCTCACCACAAGTGAAAATGATGTAAATGCCGGGCGACATGAATCCTGTTATAGACATATATAGATTGATGAAGCCGTTCCACTATCCATGTAGATGCTTGTGGGGAGAGGTGGTATAGCTCCTACTCATTCTTGATCTCTGCACTAGATGGGGGTGAGTGTTCAGCTTCATGCCCCTGCCACTTTACCCCTGGGAAAGGACCCCAGTACCCACTGGGTAGAAGGCTGGGTGGGGCCCCAGAACTGGTCTGGATGCAGATGAGGAAAAATCCTTTGTCCCTATCCGGAATCGAACCCCGGTCGTCCAGTCCGTATACAGATTGATAAAACTAGTTAATATGAACAGATGTGGAAGAATTGGGGCAGATTGCAATAAGGTGTGTCATATTCTTACTACTTGTTTTGCAGGGTCAGCCATGCTGTTGTTGTTTATTCATGCTTTGACGTGGTTACGATGGCAGGTTCATGCTCAGTCTAGACCACAAAACTACAATAACCTTGTTCTCTGGAAATCTCTTGTTTTATCTAACTGTGGTAAATTCCTAATGATACCCAGTTTAATATGGGGAGAAATTGGTACTGAAACACATTCTATATTCGTAATGGGCTATACGTTTCTCTCCCAAGTGAAAATATACTCAGGTGAGTGCATTTGTCCTTGTAAATTGGATACCTAATATGAAAACAAACTCTACTTTACAGACTTTAGTAATAGCTGTAGAAAATTTTACTCTTTCATCTGCCTTATGTTGGATTAGTGCATAGATGAAGATGACAGCTTTCTGGGATATTGAACCACATAGTCTTATATGAGTTGACCAGTGTCATCTTCACACTTGCTGATGTGAGAACCTAGAATTTCACTTCATACGCAGGTATATTCACGTGTATGACTGATGTATGGAACACCATCAGCAACCAGACTTCACAATAGAGATTTTATAGATCAAGGAGAAATACTGCCAAATATTAAGGATGAAATGGATGGTGGATGATGATAGGATATATGATGTTGGATGAATGGTCATTAGGAAGACCAACTAAGAGAAATGTGCAGATAAGAGTGGACATAATTTTGTTTAACTTGTTTACTTTTTATGTTTTAATTATTGTTAAACTGTGGTGTTGTTCTTTGCAGTTGTTTCTAATACATCTAAAGTGGGAGCTGGAGTCATAATCTTCTTTGGATTAACTTTAAAATTTTATGTGTGTCACATGATTTTAAAAATGAAATTACATGAAGATTTTCAGCTGTTATGCAATGCTGTAACTTCAAAGGTCTGGACTATGCAGATGCCTTCTTAAAACAAAGGTATTTTTATTATATCTTGCATATTAGGTTACTATATTGGTTAATCTCTTACTGTGATTTTGATAGTAAGGCAATGAAATTACACACAGATGTCAGGTGACAATGAATTGAATATTATTTTATTCTTCACTAAGCATTAGTGTGTTATATTTTCTTCCCAGGAAGAGCCAAAGTAGTACCAGAGGCTTATGGCTCCTGGGGTATGTGGCACTACTACCAGAGGCTAGGAAGGCCCTGACTAGGGTGTTTAAAAGGCCCAGGTCTGAGTACAGTACTCTAGTTAATGAGATTAACCATTTTCAAGGACTTTGTGAGACCCGGAACTATAAGGTGGCCCTGATTATGGCTACCAGTATAAAAGCTTTGTAGCTCAGAGCTTCCAGTGAGATCCTACTACATAGGATATTGTACATCAGGGGATGTGCAGGGCTGCTAGTAGATTAAGTGACCTGGGTTGTACAAAAGATTAAGAAATGGTTGCAGTGCAAGGCTTGCCTAGGCACCCACCCCATTTACAATGTAATGTCTTTTTTATATGTCAGTGTGAATGGATAGGAACATAGATAACAGGTGTTTGGTGTTGAGGAGGAAATTTGGGCCTAGGAGAGATGAGGATGGGTATGGAGAAAAACTGCATGATAATGAGCTTAAACATTTGTACTCCTCCCCCAATATTGTCAGGGCGATTAAGTCAAGAAGAATGAGATGAGTGGGGCACGTGGCATGCATGGATGGGGCAAGAGGTGTGCACAAGGTATTAGTTTAGAAGCCTGAAGGGAACAGACTGCTGTAAATTTGATTTGGGCAAGTTTGCTGCGCCAACATAAAATTTGTTGCCGCTGAAACAACGTGCGTGTTAATTGTGTGGTGTCTTGAGGAAAGTGGTCGGTTAGGATGGAGTTGTATTACACGTAGTTGGCATAAATTTATCGTGAAATATGTCAAGTGTTTATTGAATAGACATTCTATATGGCAGCTTCTTGCGGCTCGGTGAGCTGAATACCTAGAGACAGCATAGAAAGATCAGTCAAGGGTTTTCTTATTAATGTTTGCTGCAATTGTTATTTATTCTGAAACATGTACATTAATACTATGCACAACTGAGAAGAATTAACCACGATACAGATTAGTAGTTTTGTATTTAAGAGGGCAGTTGTTTTAAAGAGGGGATGATTTGCTAATATGCGTGTATATGTAGAGCAATGAATCACAAGATATACTTGCAGGATAGAATACTCTTGTAATAAACAATGGAGAGAGGAAGGAAAACATTTACACAGTTTGATAGCCATGTATACTTTATATCACTTAGGTAGACATTTACAAAATTTCTGCTCTGTGTGTCACATGTGTCAAACACTTACTTCTGACAAGTTTTAGAACTTTACTATGCCCCTCTGGTTTCATGGCTCCTGCAGTATAAGATTGGAAATGTTATCATGTACTGTATGCTGTAACCATTTCAAATAATTTATGTACAATTTTTATACCTTTGTAAGTGTTGTAAGAAAAGCTATGTGGAAACAGCCACTGATTCAAGCATTTTGTCATTATCAGATTTCCAGTTACAAGATTCAAAGTTGAAAAATTCAGACATTGACTTATATGTCTGTCAAAACTTTGTTTGCCTTTTGGTGGAAATAAGTGTCAACTACATAATGATTCCAATAAACAATCTGCATGTTTGCGCAGAAGTGGGTAAATAATTGCTTTGTGAGACAAAGCATATTACAGAATCTTTTTGAATTGTGTGCAACACATTTACACACAATCAGTGTACATAATCGAACACTGCAAGCACATAAGATACTTGTAAATGTATGGAGAGTAGCAGCAATTTTCTGAATATAAAATATCACCAGTCATCAAATATTTACCCCTATAATGTAATTTTCATTGGTGAAAATCTACAAAATTCATGTCTGTAATTGGGCAGTTATGCTGTACATTACAATTGACTTATATACCTCTGAATTCAGCAGTAATTGCAAGACTGAGCATCTGTATCACATCTCAAATGTGCCATTCTAATCTCATATGGAGAACATCTTGTAAAATGAACCTTGTCTTTATGCAGCTGTAATGCAGTTGAAGTGCTTTCAGATCATAACTTCTCAGTATAGACATCTTGTGACACATCCCAATGTATGATATTAATTTTTGTAACATCTTGTGTATCTGAACAGTCAATATGACTGTTAGGTAGCTAACCTGCAAGTATTCTAACTTCACTTCTTGAAATATATTTGTTATTCTGCAATATGATCCAGTATCCATCCTAGATATGCAGACACCCTTGTGTAAACACTAGGAGAGGTTTGGGCTCCACAAGGGATTGATCCAAATGAAATAATGCCCACTTGGAAGATCTGGGCCGTTGGACGTGTTGGTAGTTGCATAATATCCATTAGAGGGCCTCCACTGTCTCCCTTGCAGGCATCTTCACCAGTATTTCCTGCAGCGCAGAGCTGTGTGTCCACCAATGGACGAACTTCTACTGCCTGGCGAGAGTCACAATCCTCTAAAGGAATACTGTTCACTGTGGCAAACTGTAGAACAGAACTGCCTTTAGACTCATCTGAAATGTAATCAGAATAATGTTATCAACACCTTTACAGCCATGTGAAATCCAGCCTCTGCATTTATTGTTTACATGTTGCACCTTAAAATTTAAATGATGAGTATTTTTTATATCCAGCAAAAGTAAGTCTAGAACAGCTTGTTTAGGTATTATTCTTGTGCTTAAAATTAAAATGCTGTAGGCAGATATGCCTTTTCATCTTCATGTTATGTTATACTAAACTACAACTCATAATTATTAAGGAACTTACAGAAATCTGTTTTTCCCCATCCTGCTATATGATATTTTGTCTCTTCTTCTCCTGTTACTTGTATACCGAATGGTAAACATATTGGTTTGATGTAGTCTGCAAAACAGACAGACCTTTATTAAATTAAATGTGTGAGTAATGTGTACCATGTCTTTATATGTAACATTAATGGATGTCCTGGCTGGCTTCCTGTGACAGTATTTTTTCTTTCTCTCATCCTGTTTTACCCGTAGGTGCCGAGGTTTTTTTTATTTATTCATTTTGATCTGTTTGGACAATGGTAGGATTCCTTGGATGAGCGATCAGCCTGATGCAAGGCCTCTACCTATACAAACACAGAAATACGCGGACAAACATCCATGCCTTGAGTTGGACTCGAACCCACGGTCCCAGCGGCCTGGCGCATGAGGTCCATGCCTCAGACCGCGTGGTCACTGCGGCCGGCCTGTGACAGTATAACTAATACAAATGTTAAAAAGTACTTGCTTTACTCACAATGACAAACTTTCTGTCATGGATGAATGTGGTGTGCAGACCATCAGTTATGACACTGAATTCATTGTGGCTTGTAGCTGCCACTGTCTACAGTGATTTATTCTAGTCTGCAAATTCTAATTATCATTACGTTTATATTACCAGAACTTAAAAAGTGCAACCTGTAACGTCTCTCATATTTTAGCTACAAACCCCAGATCCTTGTAATATAGGGATGTCTGACAATTTCAGGATTTTTTTTCCATTTAATTTTTTATTGCATGTGTTCAGTATAGGTGATCAGGATGACTCTTCAATTGTAATACCACATGCAGGTGTTGATGTTTATACTGAAAGTGAACATGTTTCAACATCATTGTGCTAATAATTACATTTTTATATTATTTATACTGCATATTGCTGGTATACCTGTATAATAAGGAACTTTAGTCTTGAGTCGAACTAATCCAATATCATTCTTGAGTTTGTGAATATCAAATTCTTCATGAGAAATAGCTTTCTCAACGTTATAATCTTTCACTGGGTCTGTGCAGTAGTCGTCACAGTCATCCACAGTGTCTAGATTGTGTTCACCAAGTCGAATACTCTCTCTGAAACAACACAAGCAATGAATTCTGATGAAAATTCCAAAATGAAAGTTTTGGTTGTCTACCTTTCTCCTGCATACACAGTTCATTCTTACAGTTTCTTTTCTGGACCTGGTCCTACCTTGTTTGACCAGTTTTCATATCTCAAAGCAGTTCCTCATGTATGGCTGGCTTACTCATCATTCTGATGATGGAAGCAGTAAGCATCTCTGAAACACTGGTGTACTTATACTAAACTACATGGAACTACATCCCAGAAGACAGTCAACTTCATACTACTTCTGTGAGAACCTGATATCTTACCAGATTATTTCAGTCTAATTCACATGCTCTACTTCTTTAAGATTCATTTTAATAATGCCTTCCCATTTATGCCATGGTATTCTAAGTGGTCTCTTTCCTATAGGTTTTGTGACCAAAACAATGTATACACTTCTCAGCTCTCACATTTATGTCACATACGCTGCCTATCTTGTCCTCCCTGATGTTATCATCTTGATAAAAGTGTATTTTGATGGCAGTGTAGGGTTGCTTTAAGTGTACATAGCTTACATTTTTAAATGCCATGTTTCCTCAATTTTAAGTCACACTTTCACATTTTTAAGATTCCTGAAATTGGTGTGTGCCTTTCATTTGATGGCACCTAAAAATCGACATAGCGTCTTTTCCTGAAAACCTGTTACAAAATCAAGGGTACATCTTAAAATCAAGGATATACGGTAATAATTAAATAGTTGATGCCTTACAGAGTTGCATTTGCTTGATGCAGGCAATGTGCAGCTGTCAGTATGTACTGATCATTGATGAGGGTTCCACCACAAATATACAGCAGGCTTCCATTACTCACTGAAACAGTTAGAAATTGAATGAGAACAAGAATACACAATAATATGTTGCATCCAGCATTAAGAATAGGCTGTGTTGTACTGTTTGTTTTACTTCTCACAGCATCACCCATTAAATGTCTGTCATTCTACTTTCTGACATGGGACTGCACTGTAGTTGCATTTCTTCTTTAAGATAGTGAGACTTAGTCATAGTTTATTCACTTTGACAGAAACGTTGTATTTGTATTACTCATTATATATTTTAATTTTATATAATCATTATCATTCATTTATACATGGGATTCAGTTCTGTTCAGGAGGATTTGAGTGCAGTGGTGAAATGAAACATTGTATTCAATAAAGGATTCATGTGCATATGTCATGTTCTTAAAGCATTTATCCTGAAGTAAATATTGCTTAAAATTTTCTGTGTGTAAAACAGGTATATAAATTTGCATTTTCTAACTCACACACTCCACAGAGCAGAGATATTCTTGAGAAGCTGATAGTATTTAACCTGGTCAAAAAATTACCTGCCTTCTAAGAACCCCGAAGGAATGTTAACATAGATTCCACCACCACATACGAAACTGTCAGTCAGCTATGACACTAAGCTGGTAGATGAACTTGACAAGGTATTACAGAACAACTTCATTGCATACATCACTGCAAAGAATGTTTACTATCACATTTCAGAACAAATTTTATGTAAATGAATATTTACCCAATGCACATCCTGCAAAAAGCCACCATAGGTACCAGGTCAGCTTATTTATGGGTCTTGAAATATTCTGAATATATGAGTCACCACAGTAGTTATGTCATGCAAGCAGTGCAAATGGGTTACAGTACTTGTCTATACCCTTTTTTTACAAGCTTGATTACCTATAGTCTACATAGTACATTCTGATGAACATTACATCTAGAACCCAGGAGAGCCATCCATGGAAACTGTCCAAATTTTGCATTATGTCCACTGGTTATTCTCGATTCACTTATGTGACCACAGTTTTCATTGGGCAAGAGGCGCATATTTGGGTTTTCATTACTTCGTGGTGATAAGAGACAGCACACTTTCTGCTTCTCATGATTGCACCTGAACAGAATGTTACTTTCGGTCTGCTTCCGGTCTCTTAACTGCACTGTACATTCTGCCAGGGACATGCATGATAATCCATTTGCACAGGATGAGTCTTCTTCTTGAGCCGAGTTTGTCTGCAGGACTAAAATGAAACAGAGTCCAGGCATAAATATAGTAAAGTTACTCTCCTTTTTAATTTTCAGATAAAACTAACTTCTTACAGCTCTGCGCTACTGTGTACTGCTGGACTGAAATGAACATACATTACCTAATATGAAGAATATAAGAAAAAGCAGTGAATATTGAGTGATATCCATCTTGAATCATTAATCCTGAAAATAAGAAAACGTGTTTAGGATCATAGAAATTAAAATTATAGCACACCAACTCTTCATTTTATGAACATTCATTAGTAAATATTCATATTAAAGCATTACCAATATATCATTTTCATTTTGCATAATAAATTTTTGCTACAACAAAGCACACCTAACAGTTCACATGTGGTTATCCCTCACAATTGTATTGTGCTGTTTGTTGCACCATGTATGTGTGATATTAACCATTTTTGTTAGTTTTATCACATAATATATCACTGTCCATCGTGACGTCAAGGACTTGTCTACAGGAGAGTGATTCATCAGCTGTTGATGAGAAATGCATAGAAAATTTTAGTCAGCAAAATTGAATAGAATAAATTACAAGGAAGACTTACACACAGATGTGAAGATAGTACAATGTATTATTTGGAAAAGTGGTGTGAGAATGTGGTCTGGTTTTGTCTGGCTCACGATAGGTTCCAGTGGCAGAATGCACCTTTGAATTTCTAAAAAGGTGGACAATTTCCCTGGTAGCCGAGAGACTACTAGTTTCTTAAGCTGGATGCTCTGCTGTGTCGAGTTTGTTGTAATTGCTACTGTTCATTGTGTATACTCAGTGTATTAGACCATGTTAACAAGAACAGTGCACATACCCACCTATACTTTCAGCACTTTACACAAATATTTATTTATTTATCTGTCATATACAAAAATAAACAAATCTGTTTTGGTTGTGTCAGATCAATCAAATGTAGCTGGCAGAAACTTGCCTGTTATACATTATGTAGGTCAATATGCATTGATGTAGGGTGTGCCAAAGAATGTATAGAATGTTTATATTTTATGTTAAACTCAAGAAGAGGTGGAGAATGCTACATAGAAACTATCATATAAAGTTAAGTATATACTGATCATAAATAGTATATGAAGACTATACAAAACAGGAGTTTGAATTACAAGTACGAATTAATATCTGGCTTAAAAAACAATTTTTTTAACATTCTTTACCTGTTCCAGGTTTCAAAGCCGTGAGAACTCACACCACATTTGGAACTCATCAAATGAAATGCTCGTTTTGAGATGCAAACAGTTAATTATAGGAAGGATACTGCATCGTTGGCGATCGGATTTTCTGAGCTGACTGAATGCAAGCCGTGTGTTGTCAAGACTGTTGCTTTATGTGGCCACTCTAGCTGGAATTCGCTTGACCTTCGCGAACTTGGCCTTCAGCTTGACAACACATTTCCGTGAGTGAATTCTCTCATCTCTGTCGCTTTTTGGTACATTCTCATTTTGCTCACACTTTGCACAACGGGAGGATAGACATCCGTCTGAGGCATCTAAACATCCCCAAGTCATTAACGTAGCGATCTTTCCCGGTTCCGGGGCTGAATTTAAGCATTCCTTGTACTCCCTGAATCCGTACAGTGCCAACCCTAAACACACCAAGAGCTCTCACGTAACCGTTGTCAATAATTTAAACTGCAAAATTCTTTTAGATAAACTTTACGTCACCTTCTTATGATATTTTCTTTTAAATTTTTGTTTCTGCCTTTATGTTTTCGAATAAGAATAAAAATTGGGTGTTGACAGAATTTTGAAATTTATGGTTCAGTTTTGACTGACTGGGGGCATAAGGCCCCCCCCCCCCCCCCCCC